GACAGTTATCGTAACACAGATATAATTTCCAAATTTCGTCATAGGTGGGATTTGAACCTTAGACCTGCCACTTGGAGAATGACAACCCAACCACTACACTAGGATCACCATCCTTTCTTAGCATCTTTTATGTATTTTCCATATTGATTTAAATCTTAGAAAAAAGCTTAAAGGTAAATTAGGCAATAACTTTGAAGAATTTCATCATACATTTTATTCATGTCAGAATTTTCTATCAGAAGAATTATTTGAATTGCAATGGGTTCAATTGATTAAGAAATATTTTACAGTAGCAAAATACTTGCAAAATACACTTTATATTACTAAAAAGTCTTGGGCAATTTTTTGAATATATAAACAATTTATAGCAGGAGCTCAAAGTATACAAAGAATTGAATGTATTAACAAATATATATATAGCAAAGTGGATTGTGCTACATCTCTGTGTGATTTATTGTTAAGCATCAAGGATCATGTGAAAAATAAAGAACATATTGCAAGTTTTGATGCTGAACAGAATATACTACCCATGGTTGGCATGCCTATGCTAAATACTCAATTTTTTGGACAAATAGATAATGTTATTAAGGAGTATTTGACTTTTATTATGCTTGAAAAACAATGGGATCAGATGAATCAATCAGTATACTATGATGTTATTAGAGTTATAGAGTAAAGACAGTTACTTAATACAGAAACTGATAATAAAGAGATATGTATTAAAACTAAAGAACAAGAGCAAGATATACAACAAATTCTCTTTAAGTCTTTGATTAAAAATATACTACAGAAATTAATTATTGAAGTGTGAAATGTATATGCTACTAGATCAGAAGGAATTGGTCATTATATAGTATTGCTTGACGAAGGTATACATATGTGTACATGCCTTTTCTTAATTAACAAAGGATTAGTGTATCAGCACTTTTTCCATGTTGGCACCTACTCTTAACATGCAGTATTTTACATAACTATTATTCCAACACATTGGTATTTAGAAACTGACATTCAAAAAGATAAACTTTTACAAAGATATTCTTCTATTTCAGTATGCAATATAACAGAACCGAGAAATAATATAGCATTTAAAGATACTATTAATTTTTATTATTTTTCTTCAATTCAATCTAATTCACCTATCTCTCAATCTACAACAAATTCATCTAATACTAATGCTAAAGCTATCTATATGAAATTACTTGGACTATCTAGAAAAGCTATCAATCTTGCTATCAGAGTTAATATTCGACAAGAATTGTCAAATACTTTAAAAGATTTTATTTATAAAACACAGAACCAAATAAATTACTAAGATAATGATCAACAAAATAATCATCCTACTGCTAACATTAATAATCCAGCTATTATTAAGTATAAGAAAAGATCTTCAAAAAGACTTAAGTTGAATGTTGAAGAACTTTCATATAAGAAAAAATAAATATTACAAGATAGTACAAAAGCTAATATAAAAAACAATGTAATAAATTCTATGAAAGACCAAAAATATAAGAAGTGTAAACAGCATAGCTATTATGCAACAATATGTTAAAATTGATTTTATGATCACTTAATAGTTTAGAGTTATAAGGGTGTAGATCCCATAGCTTAGTGGTTAAGCTCCTATACCCTCCACAGTCAAGGTCAATGGTTCAAGTCTGGCTGAAGGCAAAATT